GCATTTTACACAGCCGTTAAACTGACCATTCGAAGTACTTCACAAACTCGAAGTGAACCAGGGTCAAAATTTCAAAATTATCAGATAGGTAAATCATCATAGAATTTCGAATAATAGGCACTTGCAAGCCAATATACATATACATATAAATTGCCTTTAAACATTCACGCTCAGTGGTAAAGAGTAACTCTTACAACGCTCAGTGGTAACGAGTATGAATGCGACGGCTACGGGTGCTTCTAACACACTAAATTACTTCCGATGTTTCTTCTGTATGATCCATCAAGGCCCATAACGGAAGAATTTAGTTACATGCCTAGTTACTCGACAGCGCTAGCATTTACTTCGCCCTTGAAGGAAAACGTTCTGCGGTTATGGCTCAAAAGTTTCGTGTGAGCGATGCACGCAGAGTTAAGGCGTGAGCTGAAACTCATCAACTGTCATCATCTGCCGTTTCTTCGTGTTAATCTACGTTCAGCGTTTGTCGAGTTCGTTTACTAAACTATAGCATTTCATGACGTACAATTATATCTGCAACAAAGACACAAGCGCTGACAAGTGATCAAATATTCTATGCCTGAGTTAAACGAACAAAATATTTGGCAATCACTAAGCACTCACCAACCCCTGAAGCGGCTAACAGATACGGCTGGAGGATAGCGTTGACAACTAGAAATGGGTTGGGAGAGACGCTAGCTAGACAACAGAGATGCTAGACATTGGCAATTTATTGAAGTTATACTGTTGACGTCAGTATTGCTTTTCCGCAACAACACTAGCAGATTTTTTCTCTAATTGAGCAAAATTCACTTGCCCGCGGAACATTTATCCCTCCTATATTTCTTTGGGTCAAAATGAGTTAAATGACCCACAATTCCGATACTATACCCCGAGGGCATAGCCATGGGGCGTACACCGGAAATAAAGACAACAGAACGGTTGAGTTCATGCTCATGGGCTACCAGTACTAGTTTCCGTCTGTAACTAAAGTCACAAACACATTACCTAAGAAACTTCTTCAGTTAACAAACCTAACAGACTGACAATGCAGAGTGAACGACTCAGGTGGTGAATACTATAAACAGACTGCAGGACAGCTATTGTACGGTGTTTGATAAACCAATACATATATTCTTCCATGGTAAAACATCATAACGATAATATATTCATACATAAAATGCTTACAACACTCGCGCTTTGATAGGCAAATCCATGGTTTAAGGGGACCGACCTAGCTCCGGAGAAACTTCTACAGTTATTATCCGATCATCATGAAACTTCACATACATACGTAAAATGTAAAAATAAGAACATTTTGACGTTCGATGCGCAAGAAAACAACCTTTAAGATGAGATAAGAAACAGAAAAACTCAACATTTTCAAATTTTAGCTAGGTCGGTCCCCTTAATTAAATACACTGTATCAATTCAACCATGGGCAAATCTACCCAGCTTAACTAGATTTCCGAACGGCGAATTCTTCAGCATTATTTTCTATACATTTCCTCTACTAGCACGAAAACTCCTCTCATTCAGTACCGTACCTAATATGCTAACAAACGTCAAGCCAAATGTATCCTAATTAAACTACTGAGTAAAAAAAATTCTTCCCCACTCACAACCTATGACGAAAAATCATTCCACTCTCAGAAGTGTTAGCTCTCCATTGGGTTAGCACACAAGCTTCAGCAGCAATACTCCTAATACCTCGCATACTAAAACTTGCTTTTTACTCACAGTCGAAGACTCAAATCTGCAATAATTATTAAACACGTTAGAACTCTGTGATCCGTTCGCTCATTAATGCAGCTTGACGTGAACAAGAACATGAAGCATTGCCCAACTCAGGTGACACAAAACTCGAACAAGAGACAGGAAAATGAAACTAATTCCTTGTCCCGCAGAAAACGCTGGGCGAGCTTATGACGCACTCTGTTAACTCTTCTTCTAAACTCTAAAACGTCTCTTCTCTTTTACTGCGAAGAATGCTATGCATGTCATTCAAATTTAGGATTTCAGCGTACTCACCTTTCTGCTAAATCAGTGGTTCCCAAAGTGGGCGATATCGCCCCCCCCCCTAGGGGCAGTGGAAAGATTTTGGGGGCGGTAGGGGGGCGGTAGTCTGAAGTCAATGTCAGAACTACTGAACAAATTCGAACGAAATTTTGAATTTACAGTCCTAACTTCCGAACGGTAATGTTTAGCTTGTGAAAATTCTTTTGATTGTGCCTTCGTTCGCGATTTTTTTTTCATTTCTCCTTCATTCGTGATTTAAACAGCAATACGTGCTTAAATTCACAGTTATCAAGAAATTTTTCCAGACTACAGAACAAATTTGAACGAAACTTGGTATTTAAATGCCTAACCTCAGCAACGGTGATGTTTACAATTTTTTCGTTTTGCCATCGTTTGCTAGTTATACGGCCGGTGGCCCGGTAGAAAAGCCGGTCGTTCCTCCTATGTCTGTATAACTAACGAACGAAAGCAAAATAGAAAAATTTCACGAGCTAAACATCACCGTTGAGAGGTTAGGTATTAATATACAAAATTTCGTTAAAATCTGCTCTGTAGTTTAGAAGAAATTTCTTGATCGCTGCGAATTTAAGTGACAAATTACCCGGCGATACGAGGCGAATATAAGGAAGTAAGAAATCGAGAATGACAGTGAAATAAAAAAAAAAACTCGCAAACGAAGGTTAAATCGAAAATATTTTATAAGCTAAAAAATCACCGTTTGGTAGTTAGGAATGTATATTCAAAATTTCGTTCAAATCTGTTCAATAGTTTGGAAGAAATTCTTTGATCACTGCGAATTTCGGCCTGTTTAGCAATATACGCATAACTCACGAATGAAGGTGAAATTAAAAAAAATACAAGCTAAACATCACCGTTAGGTTCTGGTGAATACATGTTCTAAGTTTCATTGAGCTGCTTTCAATAGTTTGGGTGATATTACTTGATAATTGAATTTGGAGACTGGTCGCGAGACCGGCCACGAGTCCGGCCGTAAATTCGCCCGCGACACCCTAGGTTTCTAGAGCTGAAACAGTTAAAACAGCTGAAAAACATATTGGTTCAGTAAATGGGGTTATATTTGTGAAATACACATTTGTGTTTAACCTTATTCTTTTAATATTGCAGGTTATTAAATTTCAAGAAAGAGGCGTATGTCTGTGGGGGGCGCTAGAAATTCACTAGGGAGCCAAATGGGGTGCCAGCCTGAAAAGTTTGGGAACCACTGTGCTAAATAGTAAAATAGATAAAGCACATACTTTACAATGATAGAACAGGTATTAACAAATTTATAGAACAGGTACAGACGTACTCGTACAGGTTGAAAACAGAATAAGAGTTCACCAACGTACAATAATGAAGTAATAATTCTCCTGACCATTTCATCCTCGCTTCGAATCACCGACATGTGGAAGTTGGAACAGCCTCCCCGATGGCATCGTTGGCGCTCCAAGTATGAACGCGTTCAAGAACAGACTAGATAAAGCTATGGAAAAATATAGGTATTATTGCAGATTAACTACATCCAAAAAAAAGGGTGTTTTTTTTTTAATTATATGTTTTTTGGGGGGTAGATTACAAATCTGAAATCCATTTTTGGCGGTCGGCATCGGAAAACCGATTTTTTTCGCGACTATGGATTTCAGATTCGTAATCTACACCCCAAAAAACATATAATTAAAAAAAAAACACCCTTTTTTTTGGATGTAGTTAATCTGCAATAATACCAAAATATAAGTTCACATTTGAAATACCTAGCACCATATCGAACCAGGTGTAAGTCTAGTAGCTACTTCAAACTATCGTAACTTTTCGTCAGTCATGAAAGGATCCGGTCAAATGACACGATTTTCGATCTTCTATGAACAAGGCACGAAAAGGAAAAGAATCGGCGACAGGCCAGAATCCACATCAGGCCTACACTTCAGCGCCGAGATCAATATGTTATGTTATTTATTTTCATGACCAGGTAGACTACTGCAATCAATGCCTTATTACGTACAACGCGCGGCAATAGACTACCTCCACGTACTGCGGGCTCGTAGTCGTACGGGGTTCCGTAACGAAATGATTTCCTCGTAACCTAACGGTAGTTTTTTTGTTCTACTATAAGCATTTACTTGTAATCAAGCCAAGTGCTTATAAAATGTGTAGGCTTTCATATCAGATATATATATAACAGCACGGATTGAAATTATGTACAATGCTTTTTTATATAGTAGTTGCGGCTAATATTTTTTGATGTAAAAATTGACATGTTGCATTGCTTGTTCTCCACCAATCAGTAGTATGCAAGGCTTTTCTACACCGAATTTTTTCTTTCAGATATTAGATATTTAAAATTATTTGAAACAAATTCACCCTAACGAGGAGGTTATATATGGCTATCGGCTTTATATACGGCTAGGAGTGTACAAACCGCAGAAGCACAATCCCGCAGTTTCTAAGGTCAGAGTGCATCTTTGGTCCCACTGAGTGCGAGGGAAATGATATCGACATTCATAAGTTACGCGAATCTCCCGAAGTGTGAGAGGTATTCAACGGCCACATGAAAACTGCACGTCATCGTCAGCTTCACCTCGCGGTAGGTTTGTTTAACAGCGTCGTCCCGATCAGTCTCTAGAGTCCAAAAAATAGGCTCCACACTTGAATTCTGATAGATATTACTGCTAAAATTGCGATTAGTCACGCGTAGCTGAACGACCAGCAACCGTTTTTCTCCATCGTACAACAAAACAACTGCTTCTTGTCCAAGTGTCAACGATCAGTAGAGTAGTAGTAGAGGTTCAAAACTCACTTATGTTAGTTTATCTGTGAACGAATGATCATAATAGGTTCAATATCGATACCTTCGATAGAAAGTGAAGAGATTACTTTATAACTATTTTCTACGCCAAACAAAATACGTAATAAATTTCCCGCTCATATTGGTTGTTCCCTACCTGCTAGCCCCATAGCTTAATATCTTAAGGGGAGAAGCAAACCCATACCTTTGGTAGTATATTTAATATAAAATATGCTTAGCCGTGCTAGAAACGCCATATTTAGGAGAGCATACGCAGAACGCCCACACTAAGAGGCACTGAACCATTACGAGGAGGTTAAATACGAAAATTTTTCAACTTTTTTCTTTCCCTTTATTTTACCTCTTACAATATAAACCTACGAAACAGGAGGTCCATGTACGAGATAATAATAAAAGAACGCTCGTGCTGCAAGTAGCAGTTACAATTTGTCCAAATAGTTGGCCAATTCGGGCAGTCCTTCCTTGAGTCCCTTCCTCTTGCGGGTCTCGCAGACAATATTGAAGGGTTTGTTGGAAGGGTTGGCATCCATGGGATTGCCAGGCATGTCCTGCCAGTGATCAAACACGCACTGCGGGAACGCCTGACCGCCAGTGTTTGAGCGTAGATCAGCTGTGAAGCCGAACGATTCGTTGACGGGCAAATGCGCCTTGACAACAAACATGGGGGTGCCGGGCACCTGCATCTCCTCAAAAACAATACCGCGACGCCTGTTGAGCACACCGTAAATGCCACCCACGGCAGCCTCGGGACACTGGATTTCGCAGAGGTAAACGGGCTCCTGAAGGCGAGGTGAGGCCGTCAACACAGAGGCGTAGAGCACACGACGGCACGTTGGGATAATTTGTCCGCCTCCACGATGGATGGCGTCAGCATGCAAAGTCACGTCCTGAATGTTAAAACGCACGCTGCGCATGTTCTCGTCGCACAGTACGCCCTCCTTTGTGGCCCACTGGAAGCCTGCCACGCACGAGTCCTTGATCTCGTTAAGGTACTGCACGCCCTTGGTCGTGTCCACCAACAGGTTGGCTCCAGTGGATTCTGGGCCAAAAGTCCAGATTTTCATGGCATCGGTCGCGTCGAAGCCGAACTCGTTGCAGAGAACAGTCTTACGCGTCTTAGGGTCATCACGGGGCGTTATCTTGCCAGCCTCGATAGCATCGGCAAGACCATCAGGCATTGGGCAAGCCTTCATGTACAGACGGTTGTGCTTGTTCGGAGACTTCGATAAACAAACTTCTGATGACTCCTCTGATACGGTCTCCCTGTAAGACACAACGGGGTCGCTCTTCTTGATGGGGATACCGGCATGGTCCTCCTCCAAATCCTTGAGGCAAATCTCAAGATGAAGCTCACCAGCGCCAGCAATGATGTGCTCTCCAGACTCTTCAATGATGCACTGTACCATAGGGTCAGACTTGGCCAGACGCTTCAAACCCTCGACAAGCTTGGGCAAATCAGCGGGATTCTTAGGCTCAACGGCAATGCGCACCACGGGCGACACACTGAACTTCATGACTTTCATGTTGTGCGCATCCTTGGCGGTGCAGATGGTACCGGTCTTCACTAAGAACTGATCTACTCCCACAAGACCACAGATGTTACCGGCAGGCACGTCTTCAATGGCCTCCACGAAGCGGCCCATCATCAGGATGGTGCGCTGGATGGCCTTCTCGTACAAGTCAGCCTTGCTGCCAGGCACGTAGTTGGGGCCCATGATGCGCACTTTCTGGCCAGTCGATACCTTGCCGGAGAAGACGCGGCCAAAAGCGTAGAAGCGGCCCTTGTCAGAGGTGGGCACCATCTTGCTGACGTACATCATGAGCGGTGCGTCCGTATCGCAGTTCTTGATGCCGATGCAAGACTCGTCGTCATTTGGTCCTTCGTAGAGCATCTCAGCCCTGTACTTTTGGGCGGTGACAGGTGAAGGCAGATGAACGGTTATCATGTAGAAGAGGGTCTCGCCAGCAGGCAACCACGTGCGCATCACAACCTTCAGGAGAGCCTTGCCTTCCTTGTCACGATCCTCAACGGGCAGCTTGACTTTCAGCGTCTCCAGCAGCTTTGCGGTCTCTTCTTTCTTGAAGTTCATGATGGCGTCGAACAGCTTGAAGATCGGGTCCAGGACGTACATGTTGAATGCTCGCTCGTTGTCATTGTCCTTACTCTTTGCCCACTTCTTGGTCTTCTTGTTGAAGAAGTTTTCACCCCAAAGTCTGAAATTAAGATACAAATAAGGAGCCGACTTCCAACAGAATGAAACGGTAATGTCATGATGACATGAACAGAACCACCATACTGGAATATCATCACAACAGGCATCCAGGCATCGAGGCAAATTTAGTTAGTAGCTTCACGCTAATCATTTCCTTTATTAAGTGAACCTCTTTCAATATCTCAATTAATAAAGCATGACGCAACACGGCAGTAGATTTGTCCAAGAAAATTTCCGCTACGATTTGCATACACAAGATCCAGAATATTTATAATTATAAAATAAGACGAAAAACGATAGTGATCCAGGAAGCTAAATTATTTGAAATTGATAAAAACCTACATGCATGTGCTTAAAAAAGCGAATTAAAATTCTGACTGAATTTTGCATTTAGAAATGAAATATACCTTGAGGGTTTAGTCTTCTTTCTACATTAGCCTTCTTTGGTCAAGTAGGTCCTTCAAGATTTGAGTTTACTTAACTAAGGAGCCCAAATTTCAACTGGTTACATAGCAAAACAAGACAAAAGTCTATGGGCTTGCCTTCCCTCATTTCAAACACTTGACTGTAGGCTTTAGTAATGAATAATATTTTTTGAAACTGGTTCTATGAACCCATGAGATGCTTTATGACTAAAATAACATCAAATGAAGTTATTGTCGCAAAAACATACCGTTTCAATATATAAAATAATTTCCAGGCGTTAAGTGCGGCTATGTCGTATTCAAGGCGTATTTCATAATATTGATACCGCTAACCGCACTCAATGTGTTAACATCAAAGTTGAAATTAATTTTGTAGTTACAGTTTATGTTGGGCTAACATAAAATAGTAATAAAATATCTCTGTGAAGTTTATTTCTACAGCAATGATGTGACAAAAGTGATTAGAAAAGCGTCCAACAATTTATACAAAAGTGCAGAAAACGAAAACTGTACTTAAATGTGAAAGAAATATCTGGTGGTCACCCTTATTGATTTCACTGCGTTATAATAGGTGTAAAATAACTATAGAATAAGTAGATAGGCGTAGTTATAGACAATTTTGTAATATGAGTTGTTTCTACCCACTATTGCCATGGATTTTTTTTCTTGTCTGGGACTATAAATGATATACCACGAGGCATACACCCGGAGCTCTAGGTATTGCGGCAAGCATTCAAGATGCCACACCATCTCTATCAGTGGTGTGAAATCACAAAAGAACACACCAGTCATATGACCACGTAAGTAAAATAGCAGAAATACTGACTTGGTCATGAGTTTGGCGGTCGGGACCTTGAAGAGGCTGGAGTAGATGTCAGCGAACTGCTTGATGGAGAAAGCCCATCCGTGCAGACCAGAACCAAAGCCCACGGAGCCTTTGCTGGGGTCCACACGCATCTCACCCATGGGGCCGGTGTCATCGTTGTACGTAGCGATGATAACGTTCACGTTCTCTACAATACGCTGCACACAATACAAACATGTTAATGAATTATGGACAGAAATGATCACGTTCTTAACTCAACTGTGAAAAGAAAAAAAAATATCAATTTCGTTTAATCGACGAGTTCTATTTGAAATGGTGGCCATCCCGTTCATTAGAATACTGCACTGTTTGTATTCCTTCATTGCAATCGAAATGCAATCAAAAACAATGTACTCTCATAAATAACTTAGAAAACAGCACATCATAATTTGATTACAATGTATCCACTAACAACAATATATTAATCGAGACCTGCTATCAAGAAATAAATCTCTACCTTCCACTAAATATTATATACATTATATCAATGACGTGCAAATTTGCCTCTCAAGTAACCGAGCGCATCGAGGCAAGTTTTCATGGATAAAGTTGAGTAAACGCATTACTATTCATAGATTTATGCTTACTAAATTTAACTGAAGCCAACAGCTCCAAACTTACTTTTGGTTACTTCAACCCATATACTTTTTTGCATATAATAACTGGGCAACTGGCACCCACTGCTGACCTGTAATGTCTGGTAACCAACACCCACCTGGAATGTCTGGTAGAGCTCCTCTTGCTCCAGCTGCAGCTCCAGCAAGGCGCGGTCCATCTTGTTCATGAAGAGCACAGGCTTGATGCGCTCAGCAATCGCCTGCCGCAGCACTGTCTCCGTCTGGACACAAACGCCTGCAAGCGCAATTGTTTTTCAGGGTTACTTCAAAATATTCTGATAGTTCTTATATAATCAAAGAACAGAGCAATAATTTAAATGGCATATGGCAAGCGTGACTTGCATATTCATCACGCACTCGCTGGTAAATCCTTACATAAATGCCGGTAACCCTTCTAATTTCCACAATCCCACTTGCAACATCTTGCACGTATTAAGCAGTTGACTTGCTGGTCAGACACAACCTAAGTGCACATAGTGCATATGATTACGACACAAACTAGCCAATTCCAGTTTTTAGGTCAATCATAACACCAAACGCGCAATTGCCAGATAGTCTACATAACCGCGCACCATCTTCGTGGCGGCACCAGCCAACAGTACATAGAAGTAACACAGACTTGTAAGCGGCTAATCAAACCAGACCTTAACCACCTATGATGAAGGTGTCAACCTTAAAATTTACTCCCGTTTCAAAGTACCAGGGCAATTGTAGCATCTAGCGTTATGAAGTAGCCGGAGCAAAATTGCTTCCATGACCTGATAGAAACTTGTGCAGTGGTATTTTTCAGCCCTAAACAACCTGGCACCTACAGTCAACAGCTAATACCATACACCAACATTAACGAGGTTGTGTATCAGATTTGCGACCGCGTGCTAACCTGAAACACAGTCGACAACCACAAGGGCGCCGTCAGTAACGCGAAGGGCGGCCGTGACTTCTGATGAGAAGTCCACATGGCCGGGGGAGTCGATCAGGTTGATAAGGAAGCCGCTCTCGCCCTTCTCCTGCTGGTCAGGGTGCGTGATCAACTCCTGCGTGGCTTCGTCCAGCTTGAAGTACATGGTGATGGCCCTGCAATATTGTGGACATGTTTCAACATTCTTATTTTCCGCATGAAATGCAAGTACTGTGCCAAACGGGCGAGTGGGGTGGTAATTTTGCTGCCAAATCTAGACTGCAGAACACCCAAACATTAGTTTTAAATTCTTTAAAATGACAATGAACATAGGACAATATACAACTTCTTATCAGGAACTTGCACCAGCTTATACAAATGAATGCAAACAAATTATAACACTACAGATGAATCACTCACGTAGACTTGATGGTAATGCATCGTTCTTGTTCATCTTTTCTGGTGTCAGTGAAGCGCGTCTCACCCGCCCTGGAGGAGGCAATGATGCCAGCCTTGGAGACCAGGGAGTCGGTGAGGGTGCTCTTGCCATGATCAACGTGGGCGATCACAGACATGTTGCGGATGTTGCGTTTATGATCCATGAGATCACGGATCTCCGTTACTGTGAAGTTAACCTGCACAAACAAGCGTGAATTGAGCAATTAAATTTTGAAACCTAAGCCAAGCTGGTATTGGGTATTTTTTAAGCAAGTCAGCCAGAATATTTGAAGATGCCTGATTTTCTCTTGAATACAATGTACTTTCCTATGATCTAAACGGGAATAGCATGTAAGAAACATTAGGAATCTTGAAGAAAATCATACCTAACTTCAACGGGGAATAATTGAGATCAAAATATGGGGAGAAAAATAGGACTGGATGATAGGATATCAAACACACTGGGCCTAAAAATTATACAACACTTCTGTCCTGTCTACATCCAAATCTATAACATGCTACAGCGTGTTTTAATAGGAAAGAATGAAACAAAACCCTGATAATTAAATCAAAAAATGACTATAAAAAAGCACAAACCAAACTGAGCAACTAATAATTCATAGCTGGAAAATTTCGTCTAACTGACATTCATGTCAGTTCATAAATAATTATGAAAGTGCAGTTCTCATCAGCGTTCTCATGCTTCCTGTTGATACATGCAGAAATTCCTGTAGAATTTCAATAGGATAGGAATCAATGAAATTACTTCTAACTTGCAAGGAAAGCCAAGTTATTGTCATTTGTATTGAATTGTAAGTATTGGCTAGGAAGCATTAGAAAACTTATGATTGCAATTAATTCAGCAAAGTTTGGGGCACCTTCCTACATGCTCTTGATAATTTGTATTTGTGCCAGTGACAATCAAACTAAACATCATTAGATCATTCTGACGTTTTCCATGACAGGTATACATCCTGCAGAACCTTTACAGCTTGCTGCGGTCTCAAACGTGCAACTCACTGCTCCAATCCTGGTACTCTGAACTGTAACCACTGAGACATATTTGCTATTCTATCAAATTTTTTATGTGACACGTGTTATTTGTCATCTCATTGCAGAAACATTGTCATTTCTCTTCACAATTGTTTGGAATTAATCAACATATTTTGAATTGAATGTTTGACCCATTTTTACTGAGTTCAAGATTATTTTCAACATTAGAGGGAATATAATTTACATACTGTAGTTTCTCAAATTTGGAAAAACCCACATTGATCTACGTACTAAAAAGATTTCACTGACCTTTATTCTATCTTTCTAAACAAAAAGTGATTTTCAAGCATTTTTTAGCAGACAAAGTCATCAGTTCCTACAATAAGTTTGAAGAGACTTGGAAAAAGCCCAAAGGCTACAATAAGGGAAGCAAAGTCTTAATTCTCTTGTTTTTCTACCCAGATAATATTTTGGCTCCTAAAATGAGAATTTTAACATAAAATAAAGCAGTAACATGCTCAAGCTTTGGTACTAATTCCAAAATCTATGATAACTTCACTAGACTAACTACAATCTTCCATTGTTAGTCTGTTACATGCCACATATGTTGTAAAGGACAAGACACCCAAGAGACCAGTTGTCTTTTGTTGTTTTTTGAAAATTCCCTTCCAAATGAAGCTGGTTTCATTATTGTGTGTAAGGACACGTGGTTAACATTATTCTTTTATTGTTTGTTACTCAGAGCCTGTGCATTCCAATTGTATACACAGGTCACAAGTGATTGTTTCTTTTTTTAATGGTTGTTTTTTACATCTTGAGTTACATTATAATGGCTCTTTTTTATATCTATGTTTTTTTACTGTATTCAGATCTTATTAAATATTATATATATAGTAAGATATACAGCAATATTTTCTGATATTTATATCTTACTGTACTCAGATACAATTTTGTGCTGTACTCAGTTCTCATTATGTTTTTCTACTGTTTTTAAATCTTACTGTACACCATTTCCAGAATTCCAATTTACATTGATAAAATGAGTTAATTCATTAAAAGTGGCACCTCAGTTGACTGTATCTTTGCCAGCTTGATATCTTACACTTGGTTAGCATATTCTTCCATTGATTCAAAGTAATCACTTAAATAGAATAATAAATTCTATTTAAACTGCAACTGAAATATCAATTTGAAAATCAAAAATAAGAGGTTCATGAATTATCTATTGTAACAATGTAAGCAGATGCCTAATGTTGCTGCCTTAACTGCCTCAATATTATAATCTGATGAGTTGGGGACAAGCATCAGGAATCAGGATAGCCATACCATTTGTTACCCAGGGTGGCAATTACTCAAGTACTATATATATAGGAGTAAAAGAATATGATTTAGAAAAATCCTTCAACTGGAATTGGTAAAGAAAATTTTTATAAATCATGGGTAAAAACTATCGGTTTGTAGGTAAATTCTATAAAGACAGTAAAAATGTACCATTATTCTTCATTAAAATTGAAGAAATAAAGCAAGGGCCATAGAAACTTTCATTAATTGTCCAAGAGCATGATCACTCATCTCATTCACAGGAGGCAAATATTAGAAACAATTTCTTAGTTCAAATCATATCAATTAGTGTACGTTTGATTGTAAATTGAAACAAATCAGCACAGGGAAAAAAAGAAAGGGTTGTAAAAAAAAACATTTCCTTTGATCCATCAGTAGAGAAGAAACAAGAAATTAAAAACAAGTTTAATACCAATTTTATACTTATTACTAAATTTTTAGCAGAATAATTCAAGTTATTGAAAAAACATTCAAATTATGAGATACATAGGCTAGACTATAAATTAATATTGAGTTGCAGTGAGATCATCTCTTACCATATTAGCAACAAAATTTTCATCTTGCAACATTAGATCTCTTGTTGAGCCTGCAGTGGTCAGGCAGATGGAAGATTACATACGTAATCCATGTATGTAAAATATACATATTTTTTAAAAACCACCAGCATCAATTCCTAGTGGCTAGTGCTTCCAGTGACTTTAAATTAAATGTTAAATAAACATGCTCAAAGCTACACAAGTTCCAGTAGAAGCTTCTCAAAGTCTGGATTATATATGCATGCTGATTCTAGTGAAGGAAACATCTACACTCCAAACTGTGACTGAATTTGTCAAACTGTGAATTTATGAATTTGCAAGCTGCAATTCCATTCCTTTGAGCCGTGAATTCCTAATCCTGGCCATGAAGAACCATTTGTGACCAGTGAGCTAATCAGCAAGCAAAGTCCTGTGCACATGTTACTCCAAATATCACTAAAAACAGCAACAAGAAAATTTATCTTCACTTCAGAGGCAATAGAACATGTGAATGATGTGATAATATACCATTTATGTTTTTATAGAAGAATAAATGCAGTCTGACACGAGTCAAATGACTGCAGGTAGGCTATGTGATCTTCAACAAAACATTTTGGATTGACTCATTGAGCAAGATATTTTACAGGCAGCCTGGTACTAAGTGATGCAGAAGTTTAAAATTTTGTGAAATTACACTTTTGAGAACCACATGATTAGATACCTACTGAAATTATGTGATATTAGGGCAGCAATATTTCAGAAAAAAAGTACTTTTCCTAACTAGGCTAGCTGGTGCTGATTGCTGTGCTACACATTGTGTATGTAGTATGTTGCGCTAACAAACTTTAAACATGATAATTCAATTTATGAATTATTAATGCAGATTTCAAGCTCTAAATATAATTATTCGACTGTTTTGAACATGTATAAATTAATAAATGTTATAATTATTTTTATTCTCAAATAAAAATGAATGCCAACATTGCCAAGCAGTGTGCTTAAAATTTAGGGCAATATTTCTACTATTTTCGGCAATATTAATGAATTCCAGTGCATTTGTTTAAAATATTACTTTGTTTCAACACAGAAATTGTAATAGTCACTGACACTCAATTCTATTTCATAAAATGAACTTAATTGATAGGATTGTTCATACCTATAAACTAGGTATGATCAATACTCAGAAAGTTTTCATCTCAATTTGTTGACGGTATCAACCTATTGACCAATATCAGGCTATATGCTGGGCGACAATCAATCTCGTTTTTAGCGCAATCACTGCAGGGTTAATAACACCAACACAAATTCTAGGTACAAAACGTTTCACGTTACACTAAAGCTCATTAGGTAAGCAAGAGCATTCCATTTTTCGCTGGTGCCGTGGCGGTAAAAATAATTCAAATCGTAAACTCCTGTTCAGTTAGAAACGTCAATACAACAAATATATAATGACATATATTTCTAAGATAATGAAATATTTACACGTAACACTCCAATTTACGAGTTAACATAATTTCGTCTCATCAGCAGAAAAAGTTGAGGGCGCCGCCATTGTTTGTGCGCACACGCGGTCGTTGCATGGCAGCGTTGTTCGAATTAGTAGCGTGATAGAAAAATATAAGCGCAGCCAGATGGCAAAAAAAGATATTCGAGTAAATTCATTTCAAATTATAGACAATTTGCCATTGGTCAAAAACACGATCACACTTTGGTAAATAACAAGTTTAACCACAAAGGATAGATGTCGGCTAAACCGTAAACGCACACTTTCTAATTCGAGAACGGGAAAATCAGTGATTAATATGCTAGCAAACAAGTTTATAAACATTCGAGACCAGAAAAAATGCACATTTAACCAATATAGATATAAAATCGTACCATTTTGAAGGTTGAAAGATAATTCCCAAGCAGGAATTCAGTTCACGATGCTCAGTCTTACACCGTCAGCGCCGAAAGGACCGTTCCACAAGCAGTGACGTTGAGAGATACTGATTAATATAGGGGCCGCTAGAGGGTGTTGGGCTCATGGTTCCCAGTAAAACCATGAGGTGTAATAATGAACAACATGATGTCATCAATAAAGTTTTAGGCTAGTGAAAAAACGCATAATGTTCGACTTATAAAGAAAAATAAACGTTTTTAGAAAGCAAAGAACAGTTTTCAGTTTAAAAATGTCACAAATCAAGTTGCCCTGGCAATGTTGCATGATGTTTCGTAAATTTTTGTAGATGCATATTAATGATTTAAATGAAAATGCTATAGTTTTCCCATTCAATCATATTGCATATTAAAAAAATTATTGAGAAGCCTTCATCAATGTAGATGGGACCCGTTCTCAATAAAACACTACTGTTCAAATGTCATAGCAATGAGTTAGCAAAATGTTTCGAAAAATTTAATTAGGAAGAATTATTGATGAATCATACTCTATATAAGTATTTACGATGAAAAATATTCAATGAGAATGAATTATAAATTATCAACTACAAAGGCTGCAATAATTCGACAATTTGTCAACCAAACCGACATTTTCACCGTGGATGTCGAAAGTCAGGGCTAATAATACATTAATACTCTTATCTCATTACGGTCGAATTAAGTTTGTCTTATAGAGTCTGTAGTTGAGTTCAGGTCAATAAGCTATGTTCAACTGAATAACGTAGAAAATGCAACCACGCATTTTGGACCTCTCAGACAATTCTCTGGTCAGACTTGCGGCCGGTCGGTCAGTGAACATGATTAACTTCCAAAGTAACTAACGCAGCTAAATAAAACTTTGCACATGCGTTTATTAGGCCATAACGGTGATGCTTAGGTCATGTTTGTTCTTTCAATTTCGCCTGTGTTTCCAAGTTATGCGTACATACGGTTCAAATTTCGCAGTGAGCGAACGAAGCCTGGAAAGGAAGCGTATACCGAAAAAATTACCACGACCACAACACTTTAAGGTTTCAATGAACGAATGTGCAATGTTTCCTCGAGCTGAGCTCAAGAAGTTGAGAAAGATAGTTCTTGTTCTCTACAAATTTGACAATATGTGCATAAATACCTGTCACTTTTCTGTATATTCGTATAACCCGTAAATGACTGAGAAACTGAAATAAATTGTCACGAGCTAATAATGATTAGGCATTTATATACAAATTTTCGCTCAAATCTGCTCAGTAGTTTAGAAACTATATAATGTTGGTCAGTATGACATCGTGGGGACCTCATTGAAGTATACAAGTATGCTCGTGGTTTATTAAAGGTCACCGAAGAATTACTAGAATTTGAAACAAGAACCAACACCAGGGGCCACGATAAAAAAACTAAAAAAAATTGCGCTGCAATTTATCCACGCGACAACATTTCTTCTCGCTTCGAATTACCGACATGTGGAATAGTCTCCCCGATTACATCGTTGGCGCTCCGAGTATGAACGCGTTCAAGAACAGACTAGATAAAGAAATGGAAAAATACATGTTCAGACTTGAAATGCCTAGCACAATATCGAACCCGGTGGAAGTCTAGTAGCTATTTCAAACTATCGTCAGTCCTGAAAAGATCCGGTCAAATGACACGATTTTAGATCTTCTGTGAACAAGTCACGAAAAATACAAGAATCGGCGACAGGCCACATCAGGTCAGGTTATGTTATGACCGTTTATGTTGGAAATGAAGGCGGAATCGATAAATATACGCAACCTAAACGTCGCCGTCATGGCCGAATAAACTCACGTTCAAAGTTTTATCGAGCTGCGTCCATTAGTTTGGGAGATATTTTAGGTTCATGGAATCTTGGAGACCTGGCGAAAAATTGTCCGACAGGTGCGACTCGGCCGTCCTTCAATGTTGTTGACCGCTTATGCGTCATGAGAATTGGTTTTCACTCAGTCGAATTTTTTTCGTACAGACATGAACAGCAATGCAAAGTTTATTTCTGCTCGTTAGTGAATTTTCTCATTTATCGAAAAAAACCCTATTGTGCTAGTCATGTCCGTCCGTCTGTCCGTTATTTCAAGTTTTCGTTGATTTTGAGAAAATGCGCTCTCTGTCACTCACTGCAGTGAGATATGTTTTTGATGTTGCTGCGTTTGCAATACATTTTAACCAATAGAGGAACAGATAAGGAAACATTTTAATGTGCAAGGGCACCAAGTGATCAATAAAATAAGCGAAGATCTTCAACCTCTTTATTGAATTAGCACAAGAGAACCATTTTTTTGCGGCCAAAATGATAAACGATTTAATTCTGACCTCCTAACCTCATCCACAATGAATATTTGATATCAATCCAACCTTCATGAACGGGATCGTCATCAGCACGAGAATTGCGATATTAACAGAGAAGGCCTGCTACTTGCAGCAAGTTTTGACTGCAGCTCAAAGAAAAGATTATAATTGAAATTTTTTTAAACGTAAGCTGGAGTGCAATAAACCAAAAAAAGCATACTTTTAGGTTACCGGAGGCTAATGGTGTTAAACAAACATCATCCGCGTTTACTGGAAGGCTCGGATGCGCCATAAGAAGCAGCAAAAGGCCCAGACAGCTGAGTTAAGAAAGACGCAATGACTCCGTTCCTTCTAATTTGTGCAGAATTTTTGAGAGATCTTATTCTGATTAGAAGTTCCTTGAAAGTTTTTCATGTTTTACTGAACTTAAGAGTCTAAAGGAGTCGTGCCCTCCTTGCTCTTCTTAAAGATACAGCCCCTCGGGCGTGCCCTCCTTCTTGCGGTAGAGGACGCTCTCCTTGCTCTTCTTAAAGTCTTCATTTGTTATCTTCATGCGGCGTTCACGCAGCGCCATAAGCCCGGCCTCTGTGCAGATCGCCTGCAAACACAAAAAAGTATCACAAGTTGATCAAGTTATAATGAACGTGCTTTAACACGTTAATTAGTCTGATTTCAGAGATAATTTTCGTTGAAACACAGAAGGAACTGGGCTTTTTCAAATATATTTCTTGAATTATGCCAGAACAAAATGCACAATCTGTCAAAAAACAGATGAATAGCGAGATACACGTAGACTACATACACCCTCCATAAAAACTACCAAGTCCATCTCCAAGTAGACTAAAATGTACCGTTTTCTGAAATCGGTGCACATATGATTATTCGAATGCAAAATTGAATAAACTGAGACACAGGAATGAAATGGAATACTTTTTCGAATGTTAGGTTTCATGCAAAAGTAAAGAGAATGTGTCAAAAAATTACTTTTTAAAGACAACACTTCCTAAGAGGCCGTTGTCTCCGATGTTACACATGTACAATGAATTCATAATTTCATTTTTAAAAATTAAAATTTAAAATTTTTTTATTTTAAATTTTTGTTCAATAAAAAATAGTTTTCTTCAAAATTTTAAAATTGTTTATTCTGTCAACTGCTTCAAGATTTGTCTCTGACTTTATGCAACTTTGCAAGTATGCAAAATTTCAGATTGATTGGACAATTAGAAGCGAGTTAAATATCGATTATAATATTTGTAGCAGACAAACAACAAGAAGGTTAAAGAGAAGTGTAGTAAAAAGAATAAAGTAACATTCAAAAGACCGTCTACACAAGTGGAGATAAAGAAAGACGCAGGCGCAACTTTGTGCTGTTGCTCTAAGACAACCAAACCAGCACATAATAGGCATGGTGATCAATATGAAGAAACTATGATTTTGCTTAGTCACGAGCAATAATTTACTACTTTTAAAATTAAGTCCAAAACTAATCGGTATACTACTATAATAATATTACGTATTTAATTTTACATCGCATTCCCGTCCACGAACCAAGCCTCACTTCAGACTGACAAATACTTATTTTACTCCGATGAAATGTTACGAATGTTACACAGCGCATACGAATAATATTGGAGAAACAATAACAATATAGACTATATAAGAAGAGAATTGGAATGGCGTGGTGTTCTTGCTCACCTTGATATCAGCGCCGCTGCGAGGACGTGAGGTGATCATCTTGATATTAGCGCCGCTTAGGTCGTCCTTGGCGAGGTTAAGCTCGTCAAAGTTGACGCCGCCACACAACGTCATCTTGTTAGTGTGAATGTTGAAGATTCGACGTTTGGTTTTCTCATCAGGCAGCGGGATACTGCGGTCAATGCGAGCCGATCTAATCAGCGCGGTTTCCAGTGTCTCGATCCTGTTCGTCGCCATGATTACCTGCATCAAATGCGACATAAATTACCACTTAATTCTACTCGAAAAAGAAGTCAAAATTTCAACATTTGTACGGAGCTTCAAATACAAAACAGCTCTGCCCAGTGGCCGTATTCTCAAGCAGAGTTAAGAGTTTGTAACTCAGTCAGCCAATTACCGACGGCTTCTCAAGCTAAACCAACCCAATAACAGACGAGAAATCGGCAGCGACGTGAACTATGGTATGACCCCTGATCTGATGAGCGATACATGCAGTCACGGTACAGTAATTTGCCATGAACAAACACATGTGAGCAGAGTGTTGACAGTTGCTCACGTGAGCAGTATGTTGACAAAATTTCTCACATCCTGATAAAGACCCTAAACCAGCACCAGCTGTTAATTTACGTAAAAAAAAAGACCTTGCGTTAACGTTCCACCCAGAGCCGTCAAGCTGGTCAAGCAGCTCCAGCATGGTACGCTGGATCTCACCTTAATGTCCCCCCTGGAGTCAAAGCCATCGAGCTGATTGAGCAGCTCCAGCATGTTACGCTGGATCTCACCTTAACGTCCCCCCTGGAGTCAAAGCCGTCGAGCTGATTGAGCAGCTCCAGCATGGTACGCTGGATCTCGCGCTCGCCGCCGCTGTTGCTGTCATAGCGCTTTGTGCCCACAGCGTCGATCTCGTCAATGAAGACAATGGAGGGCGCGTGCTCTTCAGCCACTCTGAACAGCTCCCGCACCAGCTTGGGACCATCACCCTGTTTTGCAAACAAGACTATTTAGGCTTCATGTTACTTACTTTATAGGCACGAGTTACCTCACAACCTGTTAATATCAGCCCAATACTGTCCAAAATGTTCCATTAGCCAAACATATCACAGTGATTTGGTGAATTTTCTAAACCCAATCCACGTTTGTCTCAAGGCCTCAGATTCAACTTGGGTAACAAGGTTTATTGCAGATAACTGTCCTGACACATTCTGAGCCTTAAAAACATCAGTCATTACACACAATGCTCTGGTCCCAGTTCACTACCCCACAACTGTTCAGTCTTCTCGACTACATAACTACTTGGCGTCAGTCTGTATGGCCCTTAACTACTCAGTGTTCATGACCCCACAGCTATTCAGATGCTAACATCGCCCCAAGAAAAACTAATCCCTTAGTGCTGCCAGTATACGTTACTGCCGTAGAGCAGGACGCACTAGGCACCTACTAATCCCTTAGTACTGCCAGTATACGTTACTGCCATAGAGCAGGACGCACCAGGTATTTCTGTATGAGCTCCGAGCCAACAACTCGCAGGAATGTGGCGCTGGTTTGGTTGGCGACGGCTTTGGCGAGAAGCGTCTTGCCGGTGCCGGGAGGGCCATATAATATAACTCCCTTGGGAGGTCTGATGCCCATCTCCTCGTAGTACTCGGGGTGAGTCAGCGGCAGCTCCACGGATTCTTTAATTTCTTGAATCTGCGTGTCTAATCCTGCAAGCATAAGGATGATTAATGCATGGCATGTTCAGTGTTCAGGGCAGCAGCATAAGCAATATTTATTGGGAGTAAACTATCCAAATAGGTGATGGAGAAGATGAATATAATTACCGCACTAACACAACCCAGCACTCCTGCCCAGCACAACACAACCCAGCACAACACAACCCAGCACTCCTGCCCAGCACAACACAACCCAGCACTCCTGCCCAGCACAACACAACCCAGCACNATTATATAGAATTAATATATTGGAATAATTACAAAATAGGATTAGAATTGTGTTTAATTTCATTATATTGAATAATATACAAAAAATATTATTCATGATATAATTGGGGACCTAAATGTAATATTATTACATATAATATATAATAAAATAATATGTAATATATATTATAATATATTGACGATAATATATTATATTACGCTATAATCCCAATTACATTATAAATTGTATTTTATATATATTATTTAACATAATAATAAGATAGATAATGCTAATCCTGCATTATAATTATTCCAGTATATTAATTATAGATAATCTTATATGATTTTATTGAATAAATATATTCATTATAAAATAATAAACATAATAATAAGATAGATAATGCTAATCCTGCATTATAATTATTCCAGTATATTAATTATATATAATCCTATATGATTTTATTGAATAAATAGATTCATTATAGTCATTTTATCTTTAATATATTAATGATAAGATGATGGCGCTCTGTCATTGGTCGCCATTTGTCGGGCAATGATAGCGCGGCTGCTGGACGTTCATATATAGCTTATATAGCTTATATAGCTTATGTAGCTTATATAGCTTATATAGCTTATATAGCATATATAGCTTATATAGCTTATATAGCTTATATAGCTTATGTAGCTTATATAGCTTATATAGCTTATATAGCCTATATAGACTATATAGGTACTGTGACATGTGGCCCACATGCCACATGCCACGCAGGATATTTACTGCCGCACTCCCACAGGAGGGATGGGGGGTATGTTTACCTCCGCATCATGCCTCACATGCCCCCGGGGGGACCAGCGGTGCCCAGTGACGCCCAACTGAAGGAGGCGCTACAGGAATACCTGCGAGAACAATAGGAAATTTTGTCGCTTTTGATGATTTCAAGATCGGGAAAGATTTAAATGCTTCTGATCTTCATTTTATTTCTTAAGGCGTTAATGTCAACATTCTTACAAATGTCAACATTCACACAAATGTTATTCATTAGACAGTGTAATTGTACTGCGTTTATCTTTTTAAGGGATTGAATGGACCAATAAAAGCGGATTTGAATTACCCACACGCGTTTCATTCACACCTCACCGTCAGTGTGAACCTGTATATTTCATTCACGCCTCAGTCAGCCTGTATTATTAGTATTCATACACATTGAGAGAGTTGAATTAACACTGCATGCACCTGAACACATTGAGAGAGTTGAATTAACACTGCATGCACCTGAACACATTGAGAGAGTTGGATTAACACTGCATGCACCTGAACACATTATTGAGAGAGTTGACGTAATGGTTTTTATTTAACAGTATTTCTTTATAGATACGAATATCATCAAGGACGGTATGTATCTGTAGACACTGGTTGAACGGTAAATATATTACACTTTGTTGCATAATTCATGTAACACACAAGTGGCTATGTGGTAGAGATCAGAATTAAAAGCCAATAGGCAAGTGCTCCATTAGTGTGTCGGTATACTTTATCAGTGCCGAAAACCTTGACTCGGCGGATTAGCGGCGTCTAGGCCTTTCGTATTGTAGGAATTCATTCACCTTGCAGCTGCCTTAGACAGATGAACCATCATCGTGTCAGTAGTCTCTTTTCGCTTCGTTTAACAACCCTTAATTTAGTTTCGTTTAACACCTCTTGAAAACCACACGTGAAGTCACGTTTAATCGCTAAGCCTTATGAATCATGTACCTATTGTTCACTATATTCCTATACGTTTCAATTCGCTTTATATTCTTGATTAGTGATTTGTCAAAATTTTCATTGAGCCAGTCTAATGTTCCCGTCATTGTATTTTGTTTTCCTGCTCTCTGGGCAGGTCCACGGATTTAATAAGTAAATTCTACCAACTACAAGCGCTGCACGTTTCTTATTCCCAGCCAAAGTGGCGTTTACAATGCCTCGGCATTGACATTATCCAAGAATTATTTTCATGCCCATTCAAGCTGCAAATTTACGAAAAAATTATATTATATAACAGGGAAAGGCAGATGACTGCATAAAACGATTATTTTGATATCAACTAAACTGTTCGTCAAAAAATGGCGGCTATCTTGCACTGCAGTGCATACAAAAGAAATAATTACTTGATAACAATAAACTTTATAAAATAAACAAGAACCAACACCAGGGGCCATGGCTAAAAACTAAAAAACTGCGTTGTAACACATCCATGCGACAACATTCCTTCTCGCTTCGAGTCACCGACATGTGGAACAGCCTCCCTGAAGATATTGTTGACGCTCCGCGTCAACAATATCGCGTTCAAGAACAGACTAGACGAAGCTATGCAGAAGCATATGTTTAGTATTGAAATGCCGACAACTGAAATCTAGAAGCGATTTTAAACCTACCGTCCGTTGAAAAATTTGGTCAAAAGGCCAGTCTAGTCAAGAAAAATACAATAATCGGCGACAGATCTATCCAGGCCTATTCTTCAATGCCGAAGATACTATACTATACTACTACTATACTAACAAACCTTATAATTTTGCTCATGCAATGAAACTTGATAACACAAATATTCTCTGAGAGAATAACAGGGCGATGCGCCTGATCATGTACAGCAAGCATTACATACATCTGATCATGTACAGCAAGCATTACATACATCTGATCATGTACAGCAAGCATTACATGCAGCTGATCATGTACAGCAAGCATTACATACATCTGATCATGTACAGCAAGCATTACATGCATCTGATCATGTACAGCAAGCATTACATGCCACTGATAATGTACATCAAGCTGCACATGCATCTGACCAGGTGCAGCAAGCTTCACATGCATCTGACCAGGTGCAGCAAGCTTCACATGCATCTGACCAGGTGCAGCAAGCTTCACATGCATCTGACCAGGTGCAGCAAGCTTCACATGCATCTGACCAGGTGCAGAAAGCTTCACATGCATCTGACCAGGTGCAGACACCACATGTGTGGACACCACTTCCCTGACTTTAATGGTGGATGAAACACCAGTGGGCGCTATCGGTCCCGAAGACTCGTATCTATAAACCTGTGTGTGCGGGTAGGTGTGGCCGGCAAAAAGACATCCTATGGCAGGATATTGGAGGATGGTATCTCTCAGCTCACGCGCGCTCCCCTAAAGCCCCAGCAACGACTGTTTCTGCTGGTAAATCACCTGATCCCCAAGTTGACGCATAGGCTTGTCATGAGACAGGTGTACAGAACTTAACTGAGTCGTGTTCGGGTAGCCTGAGGTGCATTGCTTTATTTTGTACCGTTTAGTAAAGGTAAACGACGTAAATAACCACCGAGATCAATTGAAATTATACGAATTTATTCACGGGGTACGAATACAAGAATTTCAATATAATTGATTCCATATACTACGAGCAAAAGGTTCACATCACGGGAAAGTTTATCTTTTCCTGCGTACAGCTAGTGCGCCGTCAACAAAATGAACGATAGCAGCACAGATCAGAAGAATCCCAAGCACCACGTGCGTAGCATAGTAGTTGTTTTGACTTCTCGAATACTCCGCGAGCATGTAGCATCCCGCAGCCGTCATATACATCGAAAGAACTCCACTGAGTATCGCCTCCTCAAACGTACTTTTGGTCGAAATGAAACACAATTTGCAAATCACGAAAACAGGAGTCACCGTTAGTGCAGTCATGATACAGCCTTCATGAATCATCTTTATACCCTGCGCTCTACTTGTCACAGTTAGTATCAAAGCTATCAGAGCCAACGATATTTCCACCAACTTGAAAATGCCGCTAACGGAACCCAGGTATGAAACGTTCACCCTTCGCTTTAAAGTTTGAGTATGCCAAGTTCCTGCAGCTGTCGGGTCTCTGGGTTGGTCGTGCTCGCGACTCTCTTGATTCTCAGACGTCGACTTTGCTGAAATCTCCTCCTCTGCTGGAAATATGGCAATGGGCACTCCACTGGCTTGCTGCTCTCATACGTACTCTGGACATGATTCTTCGCTTGAAGTTCAATTTGCAGGTCAATACACTCGCTTCTTTAAATAAAGTTACGGTTTTCCTGGCCAGTCGAGTTGTATATGGTCTCTTGCAGCTCAGTTTATTGTTGGATCTAATTACTCTCATGAAGAGGCAACTAAACGCGTTGTCGTTGATCCGGTTTACCCATGGAATCTTAAGCGAAAAATAAGATTGTGTCTTCACGAGATGAGTTGCATCTTCAAAGTAATTCATTTTGGAGGCTTTAGAGAATTATTGGTCCAGAGTTTTGGGGCGAATCCGAAAATCCAACGGCGTTATCACGCCAGTTGAATCTTCTGGTTACGTATCAATCTCTGTATCAATCATACTAATTTTTTTTTATCGCCGTAGGCTGGCAGGATTTTGGGCAGAACTCAATGTCAATAAATATAGATATCTAAAAGCAATAATAATTTTCATGATATACGTTTAAAAATTACTTTTTAAAGACAAAACTTCTAAAGAATCCAGTGTTTCCAATGTTACAGATGTACAATGAATTTCTAATTTTAATTTCGGATAGTATAAAAATTAATTTTTACATTTTTTAATATATAAAATTTTTTCAAAATTAATTATTCTGTCAACTGATTCATGCATTGCCTCCAACTTCACACAAGTGTGCAAAATTTCATATCAATTGGACAGGTAAAAGTGTGTCAGATATCATTTATAAGATTAGTAGCTGACAAAATCATTTATTCAGTTTTTTAATATTGAAAAAAAATTGTTTTATTCCTAAAATTATTTATTTTGT